AGGACTCCTATCTGATTTCTGTATGGAATACATAATGAACGATTTAACTGTAGTACTAAGTAGTCCTCTGTTAGATCTGTATAATGTTAATTCCAAGTGTTAACTTTAGGAATGGTTTAAACCACGACCATTTAGACCACGTTTCGTCCGAGTTTTAACAGATTTTTTGTAATAAGACCGAAAATGTCTAAGTGGACGAATGTTTAAGGCTCGACTAAGGGCTTGGCTGCTTGACAATGTATTTTATGACATAAATGAATATTTTAGTACAATAACGTAATTTTAAAGCATGTAATAATATATAGTTCATGGACATTCTTGACAATATACTTATAATAATACCATGACATAATTAATTAATGTAATTTATTATATAATCTAAAATCTAATATGTTGTAAATTGTTGCATACCCGATAGGGTGAAACTGTTGATACATAACTATATATATTGTTATACCACCCACAAAAAAAATGTATCCACACAGTTAGCAATAAAGATATATTCTATTCTATTCTATTCTAAAAAAAATGACCTAACAGAAACATGGGCATTATTAATAGTAATAATAAAAACAAACCTGGACACTTAACACAGCGACATTTAATACGGTATGTAATAACTGATATAATTATAAGATATATTTTTTATTTTATGTAAATACGTAATATACATAGAAAACACCCAGATCGATACAAACAATCATACTCATGAATACAAATGTTTGCACCGTGCGAGGAATCGAATCTGCGACCATGGGGAAGAAAAGTGGTGACCATCGAGGCCGTCGAAAATTCAGAATTAGACAATAATTTTCTATATCCGTAGTACCTTTCATTAGGACTCATGCCGTCATGTGCCTACGTACCCCGAAATTGTACCATTATATTTCCCCGGAACACAGTTCACAAGTCATTGTAGAAAGGGTGGGATAGAGGCCACGCAGATCACTTTATACGAAGGTTATGTAGATGTACTATAAAAATATATTAAAAAAGAGCACATAGTATCCAATGTACATTTTAATAATGATGGAATTTCGCGCTTCTAAATCATTATTATTTCATACAAAAAATATTCTAAGGAACGCATTTTTTTTTATTGGCATTTAAAGACACCTGTTGATGCTTTGGTCACACTTTTGACTTATGACTTATTTTATGACGTTCATTGATCCCTTTTAAGTTATCTATGAAAAGTGTGACCAATGCACACACACATATATATAGATATATATATATATATAGAGATATATATAGTTATATATTCTATAAGACATAATAAAATTTAAATTTTAATATATATAACTAAGACTATATTCTATTTAAGGGAATACGTATCATTTGATAGGACCGTATATATTGATTTTATTTATAAAACATTGAATAAAAATGGTACAATGTGTATGATATTTATATCAGAATCGTCTAACCTTTGCTACATAGGTGTGAAGATGTATTATTCATAATTTTTATAGTCTCCATCGGCCCCTATCAATATTTATCAAGTGGGCACCCACCGCTAGTGTAGGAGACAAGAGGTATTTACTAAAAAAAAATTATACAATTTTAACACTATGCAATTTAATAATATATAATTTTAACAATATTTTTGTGTATATTTTTTGTAATATTCAAAAAATCTCATATCTATTTCCAATAGATATAAGATTTTTGTGTAGGTATGAAGTTAAAACATACATAATAATATAACCTACTTTCTATAAAATAATGACCTTTTTACACAAAGAAAAGGTATATAAGTGAAAAACAGCCTTGTTTATCAATTACATTAATATTAAACAAAATTAGATATAAAGTATAATATAGATGTACACGAATGCCAACATTACGCGTATATAAACCTCAAATGATTTTTTTTTAATTTTTTTTTACTGTATTAGGTGTTTAAATTCAAGGATCACTCTCTCACACCGTACATATGTTTTTTATATTAATTTGATTTTTATTATTGAAATCGGAGTTCAAAGTAGAGAGTCACTCTCTTACACTCTCTCTTTCAGAGTTGACGCCTTGTAGTATAAAATAAGGTTTTGAAATAAAAATTAAATTGAAAGTATTATTTTCAAAATACAAGGCAGTTACAGTAAATATTCAAACCCAAATAACATGTATTGCAGGTTGTTTGTATATATTTTGACTATACATAAAAAGACGTTAATATTTATTAAATTAAAATAAAATACTTTTTTTGTTGTTATGTATATATATAATACATAAATAATTATGGAACATGTTCGTTTCTTATGAAAACAGATTTGTCAAGTGTATTAGAGGTTTTACTAGAAATACATTATAATATAGTAGTACAAACGTAGTAAGTTTCTTATGATTACGCAAAATAAGTTTAATCTGCAGATTTAAACAGAGAACTTCAAAAGTACATTTGAGAAATTAAACTTTTAAAATTAGAGATTCGTGGGCTGACATTCAGTATAAATTAAATTAGAATTGTAACATTCTATAAACAGAAACTTGTTTAGGTAATTCAACAATGAAGTTTAAAATAGAAGCAACTGGAAACTAAGTTAAAACCTTATTATTAGTTGCCGTGGCTTATTAGTCTTTGTTGGGTATACTTTAGATGATTCTTTTTATACTAGTACTGGAAATAGATTTATCCATCTTATTCATAAGAATTAAAGCTAAAATGGGTTAAAAAGATAAAATAAGTTTTTTTTATTATAGTGGACAATGAACACTTTAAAGTATTTTTCCATTTTTTTTATAATAAAGAAAAGTCTAAACAAAAACATTTCACACAAAGTAAGTATTTTGTATAATAAAAATAAGTATATTAAAGTCAATATCTAAAAAAGATTAACAAGTCGTTGCTCTTTATATGGGCAAAGGAGTAAAAATACAATACAAGTTAACAAATTAGTATAAAACAAGACGTAATATGAAACAGTAACACAATTGTATGTTGAGCTTATCATAAAACCGTACCTCAATCGGTATTAACTTGCACAAATGTATAGATAAAATTCTAATAATCAATGTTTTCTTTCAGTTTTGTCACGTTGATAAAGTCTTTGAAAGGTTTTTCTTATATATCTTCTATATCTGACAGCGATCAGTGACATTGTTATTATATAAAGATTAACGTACAAAAACTGAAACATATACAAAATAAAAGAAAACGAATGTTAACTGCACGTTTAGCTTACAGTAACTCGTAAAAATTTACGTTGCTCGTAATCGCCCGATGAATGTTACGTTCAATGGGATAAAACGAATGTCCCCGGTCCCTTAGTCTATTTATTTTATGCATTCCACCCTGGTGATTTTCGGGCAGAGTTAATTTACTGGCCATTATATTAACGCTGGTTTGGCAGATGAATTCCATTCCGAACGTATCCTTTGTATTAAAATTGAATTTCTTTTATTGAATTTGTCAAATTTATCGTTAGCTACAGAATCACTTTATTAATTCCTGCGTCGGTCGCGTTCCCATTTGTTACAAAATGAAGGTTTTGTAATATTTTTGTCAAATGTGAGAAGGTAATTTTGATTAATATTAATTTCCTAATAAAATTAATTTATAGCTTATATTTAAATATAATGAAAATAAAAATTGATTTATAATTATTGTATTATAATCTCTTAACATAATAATTAATGTAATATTATACAAAATTTAATTGCAATTCAAAATTTTATTTTATATTTTATTACTAACATAGGATAGGTTATGTCATTAAGCTGTTACTAACAAAATGGATCATGTTGTCTGAAATAAAATTAATATTATTAAAATTATATTTTTTTATGATGTTGAATCGACATCATCTATAAAATTCAAAATTCAAAATATCATTATTCATGTAGGTCTATTACAGACTCTTATTATATGGCAAATCTATAGTCAGTTCGGAATGATTTCGATATGAGAAGAACTGACAAGAAACTCAGCTCGTATTTTTTTTTAATGTTGTACATATTTACAATAATACTATTCATTTAAATTCAAATTTGGGAGAATATAGTGACCACCAACATATGCTATATATAAAAAAATCTAATCAGTGTTCGCAACCCAAACAGACCAGTCCCCACAAGCAGCACCCGATCACGAGTATGACGGATGAGCCAGCCATCATTGCACTCAACCATATTAGAGGGTTACCGCCACAAGTTTGAACTTTGTAGCGAAAATAACTGTTTCAAGTTACTCCACTACGTCATTTATATTATTTATAGCATAAACTGTACCAATCACAGTTTTCACCCATTACAATATTTAATCAGATATACATACGTAATAATGTAGTAATAACCTTAGTCAGTTCTAAGATACAACGTATCTATCTCTTCAATGCACGTGTATTATCGAACCACAAAGCACTGTACCGAACAAAGATCTCTCCCATATATCTCAACATCCTCCTTTGAAACTGTTGTAGATATAGTGAATGCACTATAATGAAGCCATGTGACGTCATTTCACCGTCGCCCATTCATTAGTAAAGGCGAGACCACTATTTCGTCATCAGATAAAAAATAGAGTCTTGTGTCTGCCTCTGTTTATCCCATCTGCCCACATAATATCTTCTCTAATTTTTAAGAACATCGCCACAAGATTACTGCATCGTATAACAGATTACTCACAAGACTAGACATCAAACGTTTTAGTATTTTCATTATGTAATATTCACAACAAGTGTCCCATAAAAATAATAAGTACACGTGGTACCAAGAAACGTGTCTCTACCATCCTGTTACTTTTGCTCAGCAAATGCGCAACAAAATTACCAGGATAACATAAATAGTAAAAGTTCGGTGCTTCTACTAATCAACTCGATACTTGAAACTAGAAAAAGCTCGCACGCACAGCTTCTGTTATCCCATTACACGTAGCCCAAATAAACATCTAATTCTTTCCTGCGCACCTCTGCATCCCCATCTATCCCGCTTCAACAAATACACCCGTCTTTTTCTGTCTCAATTCGGGATTGTAGCACTTTGAGCTCCTAGTTTTGCCCGTGAGCTCGTGGCGTATGGACGTATTTTTTGCGACCGCAACCCGCTTCGACACGTTACGGGCGTGTTTTGCCGGGGCCTTAATGAAAAATTGATGAAAACGCTGGTTTAACGAGCCTCCCTACTGCACAGAGGCGTATTTAGACTGTGTTTTTAATTAAACTTTGTGCGCTGTATGGATATTGAGTGTATAATGTAGTCGTTGCTGACACGGTGAGTGCAAATGTTACGATGCCAATTTCAGGTAGATAACGTGTCTGAAAATCGTCATTCAGAGACCACGGGCAGAGATAAACTCTTTATAGATACCGTTGTTTATTCGCTATTTATTTGTCTAGAATATAAATAAATTTTTACATCTTTCTCCATTTGAACATCGACGTTCTTCTTTATAACAATAAGTTTACATGAAGACTTAGAAATACGTGAATATTTGTAAATATAACGTTATAAATATATTTGTTCACAAGAAATTGTAAATAATATACCTTGCATAAAACTCTGATTAATTACGCAGGTAATACAAACCATTGTTGACTTGTTGAAGCGTATATATACTACTTATTTTCTTAGTTCTAAAAAACGAATATTAGAAAAAAAACCCTAGAACTATAAACTTGTACATTGTTTAAAAAATGTTTACTTTCATATATATACTCATAGAATCTAACTCTATCTATTCCTTAAAATTACATAATTTATTGTAGACTTCAACTTTTCAATGTAGAGTAACTAGAGAGATTTCCTTTTATACAAAATAATATTTTAAAGTGTATATAATATAATAGCATCATTAAAATTCTATTTAATTCATAAATGTATGTTACGTCTCTTAGGGACTGAGTTTCACTCAAATATTATTCTCTAGAGATGAACCTTTCCTGAATTATTCTGAATCGATTGTTCATTCACAAAGTCTATAAGCTTCGTGTATTGGAGCAATTAGTTGAAACTACACATATTTGTGAATCAACTATCGCACGGTGCAAACATTTGTATTCATGAGTACGATTGTTTATATGTATTTATATAAAAAAAATATCTAAGTATTTATATTAGTTGTCTATTACCCATAACACAAGCTCTGTTTACCGTAAGACTAGATGGCGCTGTGTTAATTGTCCAGGATTATTTATTTATTATTAACTATATTTATATATAAATTCTATACTCTCATTGGGCTTCTTATGGGGTGGACAGAAATTTCTGAGTGCTATTGACTTTTATTGCTATATCTAACTCTTCCAGCTTGTCATAACTCGCTTTTTTCTCTTTCATTAGATCGATTTTGATCTATCTATGATCTCATGATTTATCTGATCATGATAGTTCAGGGTGTCTCCCGGCTATCTCACATGAAGAGACTAATTATTGACTATTCTGTTAACTATTATTATACATATAAAGTTGTTGTTTCTCTTGGAGGAGTTCTTAAAAAGTGATTCTAGAATCAAAGATGAATTTTTATTTATGTTTGAACAAGAGGTTTGTAACACTAATAGTCCCATAGATTAAGAATAATACTGGGACTGTTCCCAACTATCATAAAAATGTATAAATAAATAGCCCGTCACCCAGACCCAAACTAATCATTCAATTAGGTACTATTGTCATTAGACAACTGATAGTCATACTCGAATTTTATTTGTAAGTAAACAGAAAAACTACGCTAATATAAACAGTTATACTCACGACTATAAATATACTCGTATATTGATTTGTATTGTGCGGGAATCGAATTCGTTGACCATCGGAAGCTGAGGTAGAGTGCTAAACTGCTAGCCCACTCAATTTTATTACAGTTATAGTGATGTCAAATGACTCGAGGTATCGATTGTTTTAAAGACGTTATTTCTTTTATATATATATATATATATATATATATATATACATCAATAATTAAGAGTAAACATTTCTACTTATGTTCAAAATCAAATCAAATCAAATTTATTTGCTACGAACATAAAAAAAACTAATGTATACCTACATTAGTTGTCATTTAAGAAACTAAAATTAAAAAGCTTAAAAAATTATAATATGATGACTAAAATATATTATTAAAATTGTCATTTTAGAATATAATGTCCCATTATATTTTGGTATAGGTATATACCTCATTAGGTATGCAATTATTTTTATTTTTATTTTATTTACACGTAGACTTTATATACTACCAGCGTATTGAAAAAAAGTCAACATTATAAAAAAATTACGTGCATTTATGGTTTAAATGTCGTACATTTAATCCATCCGCATGAAAATACTATTTATTATATTTTACAATTCAGTTAAAATACAATTGTATAAAATACAGAGAACATTCTTCTGTTCAATACAAATGGAGAGTAAGCATCGTGGCCTAGTTATTTAGTCATATTACCCCCAAGAGGTAGTGACTTCAAATCTCACCGACGAAGATTACTCTTCGGTGAAGGAATTATCGATACTAAATTAAAAGAAATAATCCGAGACACGGTGGTAAACATTGATTGCTGATCTACTTATATATGTATTATTATTATCAAATAATTGCAAGTGGATCAGCGCAATTTGTTTTGCGTCAGATTTTCCCCATTCATGCAACATTTTTCACTGCATTTTTATATAGCCTTCTTCGATAAATCGGTTATCTAAAGGTAAAATAATTCTTATAATCGGATTATTAGTACCGGAGGTTACTCCGAACTATGTAATATTATGTAATCTGTGCTCCGAACATTCAAATCCACACACTATCTGCTTATCATACTAAAGCAATATAGACATTGTATGTATATAATCATAGTGCTAAATAGCAGATGGTTAGAAAATATTAACTAGCTTTTGCTAGAATAAAACATCGATAGACTCTGTGAAAGATGATATTACGCTTGAAAAGAGAGTAAGCTCAGATAGATCATATAGAGATCAAGGAAAGATAATATACTGCGCAGTTTCCAAAGAATAAGATATTGACGATTTCTTTTTCTTACATATCTTTTATACATTGTGATGTGTATAATTTCAATGATGGACATGGTGGTCTAGCGGTTTAGCATACCGCCTTGCTTCCGATGGTCGCGGGTTCGATTCCTCGAACGGCACAAACATTTGTATTCATGAGTACGATTGCTTGTATCGGTTTGGCTGTTTTCAAAATTAAAAATATAATAAGAGGGCGCTGTGTGAATTCTCCAAGATTATTACTATTATATAATCAATTATTTTTAAATTTGAAATCTGTTATTGATTGATTGAAGAAATTAATCTATACAGAATTGTATAAACTAGTCGTCGAAATTACACTATAATAAATTTAATTTATAAGTTATTAAGACTATCCTGCTATAATCTTAGGTACTGGTAACACACAAAAAAGTCACAAGAAATAAACAAAAGTGTATATGGTTCGTGGTATACGTGGATATGTCAAATCATACAGTGTGTGTAATAGTTTATTGAATTAATGTATTTATTAACATAATTCTTTAGAAAATTTAGCATTCTACACTCCTTCTGTATAAATAAACTACATATAAGTGAGCGAAATTCATACTCATCCGTCCGCTTTAATATATAGATACCATATTCAAATTCTTTAAGAATATATTGCTCTTCTTACCTATACACAGTTATCGATAATCGTAGAAAAACAGATGCCTTTTCTACGAGGTTTTGTAGTAATCTGTACCGGACTCTACGGGCCTACGGCGTAGTGCCCCTTACGATCTCTTCTTCATGTTATTTACGTTCTAGAATATTCTGATGATTTATTAGTATAACACCATTATTTATATATACCTAGTTGGTTAAAGTATTTTGAGTTTGGGATTCCGATTCTTCGAAAAATTTGTATTAATTTTCCTTCATTCAGCGTACTAAAATCAAACAAATATAAAGTAAGAATATTTTTCGACTCGATTCCTCGAAATAATATACCGAAATTTTATTTCTTTCTGCGAATTGTAAGCAAAATAATGCCTATTTATTTTTTATGTATACTATAATCGGTATTTCTTAAATTACCCGTTTTGAAATTACCGGTTTTCAGTGAAACACTATATTGCAATTAAAACTTTTTCTTGCTAAAATTGAGTGTTAATGATTCTCCGCGTTCGTTTATCTTCTTTATAAGAACTTTAACTATAAAAGGTGAATTAAACTTAACAGTTATTTTAGTATTCTTAAGATCTATTCTTATATATATTTTTATTACAAAAGTATGACAATAACAAAATACAAAATAATAATAGAAAATAAATCATAGACTAGTATAGTAAGTACTAAGGTACCCGTAAGGTAAACGTAGCTACCCTTTTGTATCACCCATTTCAGCCACCAAGCAGCCTGATTTGTAAGTTTTGATTTAGTTGAAGTGTCAACCAAGGTATCAATAGCAATAATCTAACAATCAACTGACAGTAACTGGTAACCATCGCCAATCCTACGCCCGTGATATCACTCAAATGCCATTCCAGAGGACTACGATATTATGTCTCTTACTTCAACAGAAACTAAAATACCATCCTAGTCATCTGGATGACCTGCACTCCTTAACAGTGCGGTTTTCTAAAAAATGTTTGCTATGCACAACCACATTATGGAATTACTGCAATGGTATTTCCGAATCGACACGATGTTGAAATGTTCAAGAAAAGAGCTTAATCCTTCTTAAAAGACCTGCAACGCACTTGCAATTCTCCTGTGCTCATGGACGGCGGTAATCACTTAACATCAGGTGAGCTGCAAACTCGTCTGTCCCCTGTGATATAAAAAAAGTCGTGTGTATAAAACACATAGCAAGTTAGGATGGTGGTTATACCATATAATATAACCAGTGCTAACCATCGCCTATATGGTACCCGTCCTCCGGAAAACGAATGCATGAGTGGTAACTCATACGTTGCTTTGCAGACTAGGGTTATACATCTTATCGTGGGTATGAAACACATCTTACAGAGCAAGTTACTTTGTAGCTAAATAAGGTGAAACTAGGGTACTCACGCATACGGCCTTTTACAAAGGTGCTTGATATAATGTATGTAGTACCGGTATATAATTCCGTAATCTGAGCTTTATCGTCACTAAAGCCAATTGAGAACCAATCTAGCAGCACGTACGGGGGCTGCATTCTCATGAATCTAATTAGAGTGGGAACAACTGATAACCTACTTATCATTGAATACGGCTGGGGTGACAAATGTGCCGGCTTACCCTAAGTAATTTATGGATCT